GCTGCTAAGATACTCCTTTTTCAACTACATACCAAACTTATAAGGATGATCTGTCTTCAGACTAAATAACAGGCAGATATGTGAACCAAGCTGCCTTATATAAAACCAGACATAAAAACAATTTACAAAGGCAAAACAATGACATTCTTCTCACCTGATTTTTTAGAAAGGTTTTAGAAAATAGGTATTGTTCATTTAAAAATGCCTTTGTTACCCTACAAATTTATTATTCTTAAATGAATCAATTGTTTTAAATTTATCAAGATAAATACAGACAGATGTAACTAAAAGAACAAAAATTCTTTGGGGTTCTTTGATAACTTTTTAGAGCATTAAGGAATCCTCCTGTGATTTGAATGTGTCTCCCAAAGTTTTGAAATAATCCCAGTCCAAAAGTATTGAGAGGTGGGGCCTATTACAGGTGATTAGGTTACAAGGGCTCTGCTGTCATGATAGGATTAATGTTGTTAGGCTTGAAGTTGGTCAGTTATTGTTGTGAGTTTAGCCCCTTATTACTTGCTCACTCTTTTCCTCTTTCATTGCATCATGGATGATGCAGACTGCAGGCCTACACCAGATGCTAGCACCAGACTTCCCAGACTCTAGAACCAGGAGCTAAATAAATTCACTGTTCATTATAAATTATACAGTTTCAGATATTCTATCATAGCAATAGAGAATGGAGTAAAGCAGTTCCTAAGATCAAAAAGTTAGAGAGTTGGAGATGAAGCTCGGGGGTAGAGTACCCGCCTACCATGCATGACTCCAAGTTCAATCTCCAGCACCACACACACACACACACACACACACACACACACACACACACACAAAGAAAAAAGTTACATCTGCCTCAGAGGAAGAGGGAAAAAACAGCAAGAAAAATAAATTAATAAATTAAAACAAACAGAGCATATCAAGGAGCATAAAATATCACACAAGGACACCAAGACCCAAACATGACACTTCCTTAAGAAATATGTAGGGTTTTAAATTGCATTTTTTCCAAGAACAGAAGGACTTCACACTTTGAATTTGATTATGTGACTCTCCCACTAAACTGTAAGCCTCATAAAGCCTGATAGAATGTTTTCCCCACCATTAGGGCTAGCCCAGCACCCAGCACAAAGCAAACACTCAAATATCTGTTGTATTAAAAAAAATGTTAAAAAAGATCTGCAAAAAGGGCCAGGGGTATAGTTCAGTGGTAGAGCATTTGCCTAGCACATGTGAGGCACTGGGTTCAATCCTCAGCACCTAATAGAAATAAATAAAGTTATCGTGTCCATCTTCAACTAAAAAAAAAAAAAAAAAAAAAATCTACAAACAGAACCCACTGACTTAACTATTCAAAACTTCTAAATATAAAATTTTACAATAAAAATTTACCTATCCACATAGTAATAACAATCATAAAAACTACCATGCGGGCTGGGGATGTGGCTCAAGCGGTAGCGCGCTCGCCTGGCATGCTGCGGCCCGGGTTCGATACTCAGCACCACGTACAAACAGAGATGTTGTGTCCACCAAAAAAAACTAAAATAAATAAGTAAATTCTCTCTCTCTCTCTCTCTCTCTCTCCTCTCTCTCTCTAAAAAAAATTGTAATGCATAAAAATGTATAATGGCATAAATTGGCATGAACATACTTTTAAAAATAAAAAAAAACTACCATGCTCTGAGAGCCTATTTATTACATGCCAGGCATTGTACTGGGCACTTTAGATTTTTTAATTCCCATGACAACCATGGGGTATACTTTACAGGTAGAAAGGTAAGGCTGTAAGAGGTTAACTTATCTAAAATTATGTGAAATAAGTAACAGAAAATTAAAACTATATTTTTGCTCAAAAACATCCACGCCTTTTACCACCTATTGATATGGGGCTTAATACTGCTTGGTTACCTTTCTTTCTACTTCTTGGCAATTTTTTACTAGAACCTGTTTTGTGAAAAGTCACTTTTTCCTCCTTTTCCCAGTCTTCTACTCTGTTCTCTGTCCCCAAATTCCCACCCCTTTACATCATTCAATTAAGCAATATATTAAGCCTACAACTGGAGATAAACGTATGTTCTTTTTTTTTTTTTTTTTTTTATTTTTTAGTTCTCGGCAGACACAACATCTTTGTTGGTATGTGGTGCTGAGGATCGAACCCGGGCCGCACGCATGCCAGGCGAATGCGCTACTACTTGAGCCACAACCCCAGCCCAAACGTATGTTCTTATAAAATACTATCAGAAACCTCATTAAGAATGGTGAGAGCTGAGGATGTAGCTCAGTTGGTAGAGTGCTTGCCTAGCATGCACAAGGCTCTGAGCTCAATCCCCAGCACCAAAGAATCCTTGCAGCTTCCTTTCAGAATCTTCTGGAACTCTAAACACCAAAAAAAAAAAAAAAAAAAAAGGAAAAGTATCAGTTTCCAGAACACAAATTAAAGCTCTCTGACCCACTGGTCTTGCAAGATGGCTTCACATCCAGTTACACAGAGTACACATGGCCATGGTTTGGGAATCCTTTCCCAAGGAACTGATCATGAGAGTCCCTGGAAATCTCTATCTCATCAAGATCTGTGCCATGATTCTCTAATTAGAAAGCACTAAACCTTCAGCAACTTAGCGAGACCCTGTCTCAAATTCTTAAAAAACAGGCTAGGGATGTGGCTCAGTGGTTAAGAGCCCCTGGGTTTAATCCCAAAGAGAGAGGGAGGGAAGGAGGGAGGGAAGGAGGGAGGGAAGAAGGGAGGGAAGAAGGGAGGGAAGGAAGGGAGGAAGAACTGGGGCTGGGATGGTGGCTCAGGGGAAGAGTGTTTGCCTAGCATGTGTGAAGCACTAGGCTCGATTCTCAGCACCTCATACAAATAAATAAATAATTTTTTAAAAAAAGAAAAAAGAAAAAAAAGAAAGTACTAAGATGGTATGTATGACTGTCAATTCCTTGTCAGTCTCTACAACCAAAGGACCTATGCTAAAGAAAACAAAGCTCCCAAGACTTCCTCCAGGTCCAGGAGAACTTGAATAAACAGAGCTTTGTCTCCAAAGAACGTCCTGACTACTAAAGATCACCCTGTTACCATTACTATCATTATCCCTATGGTTTCCGAACAATATGTAAGCATTTCTCTTCCCCCCTCTCTTAGTGAAAAGATAAAGAGTAAAATTAGCAAAAGTGAACTATTCTAGGAAAAATTACAATGCCATGTTATCTGAGAATCTCACCATAAGCCAATGTTTTCCAGAGAGGAATACTCAGTTTATAAAAGTTTTACACAGAGTATGTTGAAATAGTATGTCTTAACTCAATGTCTAGATTTAAGAAAAATGCACAATTTGAGAAAAGAATCTTTAAAAAAAAAAATAGCTAGCTGCAATTTATTAAAAAAAGAGCATCCTTAATGAAAAAAAAAAAAGTATCAGGGCTGGCTCAGGGTAGAGTGCTCACCTAGTGCGAGTGAGGTTCTTACTAGGTTTAATCCTCAGCAACATATAAAAATAAATAAAAATCAAGGCACTGTGTCCACCTACAACTAAGAACTATACACTTATAAAAAAAGTATCAGAGGAAGTCACATACATGGCCTGACATTAGACATATTACTCAAAATCACTTTTATAGTGATATGGGCTTTGCATAGTCCTAGCTAGGCTTTGCATTAAAAAATCTAGATATCTGAATATTAACTAAAGTTAAATAATCTTACTTATTATTTTACTTATTTCTTAAGAAAGATATTACCAGTATATAAAAGCTACAAACACAAAAAAAAAGACTTCAAATAATTCCAATAAAAAACATTTACAGCTGGGCACAATGGCACACACCTGTTATCCCAGTGACTCAGAGGATGACACAAGAGGACCACAAGTTTTAGGCCAGCCTGGCAATTTAGCAAGACCCTACTTCAAAAAATAAAAAGGGCTGGAGATTTAACAAGTAGTAGAGTACCCTTGGGTTCAATCCCCAGTACTGCAAAAAACAATAACATCTGTTAAAAAAAAAATGAATCCAGGAGCCGGATGTGGTGGCGCATGCCTATAATCACAGTAGCTCAGGAGGCTGAGGCAGGAGGATGGTGAGTTCAAAGCCAGCCTCAACAACTTAGTGAGGCTCTAAGCAACTTAGCAAGACGCCAACTCGAAATAAAATATAAAAAGAGATGAGGATGTGGCTCAGTGGTTAAGCACCCCTGGGTTCAATCCTGTGACCAAAAAAAAAAAAAAAAGTCTAGAAGCTTCTAGGTGAATCTGCCTAGAATAGCCATTGCTCTACCTTCCCTAAGAACCAGCAGAAAACTGAACCAAGTACAATCAATCAAATCTTCCTTCCCAGGAATTTAAAATTTAGACACTGAGCTAACAATCAATTGGCTAGTGGCACTAGACCTTGGGTTCATCTGTGGCTCCAGGAATGAAGCAGCTATTTTCTTCCACTTCTTTGTTAAAGCATAAAAGGCCAGACTACAGAAAGACAACTAAGGCAAGACAAAGAGACAGAGGATACTTCTGAACAACTGGGAGTAAAATGCTATCTAAACTACCTTGGTTCCTGAATACATCTCAATTTCTGGTTCACATCCCTCATGAAGCCAACTATTCTTGGGTTCTTTCATGATAACTCGGCCCCTCAGCACTCCTGACCCAAAAGCATGCCTCTTCCTGTTTCCAGCTATCAAAAAAATCATTAACAGTTTAAAATGCAAATTCACACCAGGATCAATGTAGAAACAGTATGTTATTCTTACAGTTCATAAAGGATATAAGAGGTACCACAAAAGAAATTTCTAATCACTAATCATAACCTCAGGAAAAATAAGGAAACCTAATATAGCAAAAATCAACTTTTGAGCACAAGGATTTAACTCTGTGGTAGAGCACCTGTCAGAGCACTTGCCTAGTATGCACAGTGCCCTGGGTTCTATCCCCAGCACCACACACACACACACACACACACACACACACACACATCACCTATTAAGCCCTCAACTTTCAGCTCCCCTTCCAGCTTACCTGTTCAAAAGTTCTGCTGGTTCACAGCAGGAGGTTTGAGCAGATTTTTCCGGCCCTTTTAACACTGTAAACAATAAAAGTATTAATGTAAATCATCTAGCAAAGTTTAAAAGTATAGCTTTTTGTCATGAATATATTTCACAGGAAATGGTTTTCAAACTTGGTTAAAATATTACAATCAACTGGTATGTTTATTATAAACTTGATTTCCTGCTGGGTCTGGAAAGCCTATAGTCCCAGCTACTAGAAGGTTGAGGAAGGAGGATTACTTAAGCTCAAAGAGTACGAAATCAGTCTGATCAATACAGTGAGAGTCTCATCCCCAAGAAAAAGACAAAACAAAACAAAAAACTAGATTCCCTCATGTCTGGAGACCTGGGTAACACTTGAGTAGAAATGAGAAGTAACTATTTTAAACAAAATTCCTAAATGATTCTAATGAAGCAGACAAATGACTACCACTACAGGGCTTCAAGAAAATTATTATTATTATTGGGAGTTTCATTCAAAACCACATTATAGCCAGGCACAGTAGCACATTATCTGTAATCCCAGCGGATTAGGAGGCTAAAACAGAAGGATTGCAAATTCAAGGACAACCTCAGCAAATTGGAAGGGGCTAGTAATGGGGCTAGTAAGGTAAAGTGACCCTGGGTTCAATCTCCAGTACCCGCCCCCCCCCAAAAAGCATCTATTATAGGGCTTTGATAATAATCTTTAAAGAATAGCTGATAGAAAATGAAGTAGCATCAATGGCCATATGCGAATAATTACTGAGCCCCCAGAAATCTGACTAGCGCCAACAAAATGTCCAAGGAACAAAGCTCCAGGTGCACTTCCAGCTCCAAAATTACAACATGCTTTTAATACTGTGTTGAGGCAGAATCTTAAAAATCCACAAGATGGTGATATTTCAAGTGACAAGGAATAGACTGAACCACAATAGCCTCAAGTGGTATCTTAGCTAAAATCAAGATTCTTTGAATACTATCAAAGAATAATTTAAAAAGTTGTTAATTTTATTAGCAGCAAGAAAGCAACTTGAGAAAGCCATTTCCACTTTTGATATAATTTTGCAAAGTAGCCATATTATAATGTTCAACTATAGCCCTTGCATCCTACCTTTTTTTAAGATCAAAAGGAAAAGGGGGGAGACCTAAATAAAAAAAAAAACTTCTACAGGCCTAACTCAAGAGAACAAGTTCCAGGTTATCTCCTATTGTAAGTACAAATTAAATTCAAGTTAATAAACCCTGTAATCAACAAGAAAATACAAAACTGTGTTCTTTATTTAATTACTTTAAGGAAATATGTAATACCTTATATTTTATAAATATGTTCATAAAATAAAGTTTGGTCACTCAAAGGATTAGTCTCTTCATTTTTTCTATTGCTACTCCTTTTCCCAACCTCACACTAAATTATGGGCAATTCATTAAAAATATAATTTTCCATTACTACATAATTAATCTAGTATATTTCTCATTCATCTGAGAGTATGACAAAATAGAAAAAACAATAATCTGATCAAGAATACTGAACACTTCCCTAGCATGCATGAGGATCTGGGTTCAATCCCCAGAACCATAAATTAAATAAATAAGCTTATTCTTGAAATAAAAAATTCCTTTTATTTTTAAAGAGAGTAATTCTTCAGGGCATTAAAAATGAATGGAAACTCCAAAACTTTATCAGCATAAAGTACTAGTCAAGGGGAGGGGAGGAAAAAACCTTGGGTTCAGTCTTTTACAGCAATGATCAAAGAATGTTAAGGCAATTCAAAGTGTTAAAAGGAAAATGGACATTTAACTTGCCTCTATGACACCTGGATTAACACCAACATAGGCTGTAGATTCAACCTAATGAGACTGGTCCCACTATAGAATAAAACAGAAAGTACGTAAAATTTAATCAGCAGGGACAAATAGAGATCTGCAAACAAACTCAGTTTTTGAAAATGACATCAAATATCTTTTTAGAAGGAACAATAGGAATCTTTTCACCCAAAAAGGTCCTCTTAGACAGCAATCACTATCAATAGTATCATCTTCCAGTGTGAAGGTCAATAAAAAGAGAATAGATATTTGGAGTATTAAAATGCAGAGTCATGAGAACAAATGAACTGATTATGACATCAAAGTAATTAAAATTTGGAAATGTCATTTTGAAAATTCAAAAAAGGAACAAGAGGGAGAAAGGCAATTAGCTAAAACACTACCTCATCACTACCATCATTGACTGTGTCCCCTTTTATCAAGGAGCTCCATTCACACACTGACCTTGTTAATTCTGTCTTCACATGATTTTGAGGCAAACCATTACAAATTATTTTTCATATAGGCAAAAAAAATCAGCAAAAACACTTCAACCCTGAAGTATTTAATTCTTCCAGTAAACTAAAATGAAAGGACATTTATCAACACTTAGGAATAAGAATATGGAGATAAACTGGAAGAAAATCAGTAAAAAAAAATTTTCCCCAGGCTATTAAATATTAATTTGAGAACTAGTCTTAAAGGTAAAAGGAATAAAAAAAAAATCAGCAAAAACAAGTTTTACCCACGTTAAACACTTTATAAAGTAAATAAATACAAATTAGTGGGAGAGTCCCTGTGGTATTTACAACTAGACAAAACAGTACAGAATTAAAAGAAATTCTTTCCGGATCAGTTAAAAATAACCTGCATTAATATACTGATTCTACCTCATTATATTCCTTAATCACCTATGTCTAAACTTCAAAGGAAATCCTCATTACCCTATATTTTCAAATATTCTTCAATTTCCAAAGATCCCTTCCTACAAATCATTCCTTTCAAAACTGTTTCAAGGCAGTCTAGCATCAATCTCATTTTAAGTCTTCTTTTTTAAATTTTTTTTTTTATTTTTTAGTTGTAGATGGACAGAATATCTTTATTTTTTATTTTTACATGGTTCCAGGGACCAAACCCAGTACCTCATGCATGCCAGGCAAGTGCCGTACCACTGAGCCACGACCCCAGCCCTTAAGTCTTATTTTTGAGAAAAAAATTCATTAACAATTTTCTAAAATATGTGAACATCCTGAATTTTTCCAAATGTGATTTCCCAATCACATTTGGAAATGCTGGTCTAAATCTCCAAATCTGATTTTCCTAAGAGTCATAGAAAAAAGGAAAAATTCCAGGACAGCGAATGCCACATCTCATCTTTGTACAAGAGATGGGTACATACACTGCCTCCAGCCTTCCAGTCTCCCTCCCACCTCTAGGTGAGCCTCATTGCTTTGCCCAACTTGGTTTTTGTCTCAGGGTCTTTGTCCTTGCTGTCTCTAAGCCTGAAGCATTCTTGCCCTTATCCCTTTTTTTTTTTTTAAATATTTTATTTTTTAGTTTTCAGCGGACACAACATCTTTCTTTGTATGTGGTGCTAAGGATCGAACCCGGGACGCACGCATGCCAGGAGAGCATTAACCCCTCCCAACTCCCTATTATCCTATTTCCCTTTCTCATTTTTCTCCCACATCACTTACCACTATACAGATGGTCCCCAACTTAGAATAGGGTCATCTTATGTCTTTTCAACTTGACTATGGTACAAAAGGCAATACCCATTCAATAGAATCCATTCTTTGAATTTTGATCTTTTCAAGAGCTAATGGTACGTGGTATAATATTCTCTGGCAATGCTGAACCTTGACAGTGAGCCACAGCTAGTAGCATGCAATTATGAGAGTGATCAACCAGTGTAAACAACTGAGACTCTACAGTAGTCTATGTTGCTAAGTTGTGATGTGCACTGGTAAGTATGTTAAATGCATTTTTGACTCAAAGTATCTTCAACTTGGAGGGTTTATGGGTATGTAACTTCATCCTTAAGTCAAGGAGCATATGTATATTTTACCTAAGTTCATAATTATCTGTCTAGAAATGAGCTCCATGAATGTTGGGTCAGTTTTTTGCTCCCAGCACCCAAGAGTGTATTAAGTACTCAATATTTGTCAAATGAATGAATGAATATGAAACACATAGTGCCTTCTCCCTCACCAACCTCAAAACTCTAAAAGTGCTTTGTCAAGTAACAAAAGGGTGTGAAGGCTTTTCCTTTCTAGTGAATCACTGCCATCATCAGTGTTAAATGTCAAAGGATCATATGACATTTTCCCGATACATGTCACTTCTAAATTTTTTTTCTAATGGGCTCTTCTGATGTTAATATGTACATATTCCAGCTTAAAGCAATCCAAAAGCTGCTACATTAACTGGTAAGTCACGTAAAAACATCAATGAGAGAAAACATTTACATTCTAACCAAATCGGTCAAACTCTTCAAGACCAGAGCTGCAAATATTATAGGATGAAAGCTAATATACAGAAAAGATATCCAAAAACAAAATTGGGGTTGTTTTTTCCCCCCCTAATCTAGGGAGTCACTGGAGTGAAGCTAAGAGGGAAATACTACATAAAGAGAGAATCTCCCCTCAGTAGGAGACTGAGGACCAAAACTCCCATAATCCAAGGTTCACAGCACGGGACAGGAAGCTTTTCACAGGTTCTAGTCCCTTACCTAATCCTCCAGTTAAATTAGCATACTTACCTTTCTCTCAGAGAAACTAGGTGTGTTTGGGAAAGCTGGGGAGAGGACCGGGGAAATGCAAAGCCACGTTATTTATCGCCAGACACGGTCATACAAACCTGCTTCTTCATACCCTCCTTCCCTGCCCATTTGATTTTTCCAGTCACAAAACTGAAGTGTCCAGAGCGGTTCGTGGGAAACTGCTTACAGTTAAGACTAATGCCCATTTCAACCTGAGGTGAACGTTCGGGTCCCCAAAGCTGCCACCGGCTCTACACGCCCAGCCTCGGTGCCGGGTTCCGATCATGGCTCCACCTTGCCTCGGGCCTGGTCCCGACCCAGTCCTCTCGCCAGGGAAGCAGTCTCCCCGTCCAGATGCTCCGCGGGGAAGGCCAGGGCGCACCTCCCGGGGCAGGTGCGGGCTGCAGGGCCGGCGGGAGCAGCTGTCCGGCCGCAGCAGCTGTTACCCGGGCACGCCGAAGCTGGGCGGGCGTCCGGCCCCGGGGAGCGGCGAGCGACGGCGAGCCCGCTGGCCTGGGCGAGCCGGCCTGGCGCTGCCCACCCCTCGCCTCCTCCCCTCCTCGGCTCCCCCCGCCATGCCACAGGGGGCCCGGCGGAGGGGCTGCCCGCTGCTGAGACGCGCCCGGCCCTCGCCCGGAAGGAGACTCCCTCCTGCCCCGCACCAGACCTGTCCCATCGCCTGACGCCCAGAGCCGACCGCGGCCGCAGCCGGGGCGGCCTGTGGGTGTCCATGCGGCCCGGCCGGGTCGGGCAAAAGCGGCGGGGACGTGAGCGCGAGCAGAAGGCCTAGGAGGCCCGGGCCGCGGCGGTGGGGCCAGGGAGCGGAGGGCAGCCGGGCTGTGGAGCTAGACGGAGTCGCTGGTTACCTGCGGTCCCGGACAGGGAGTCTCTCAGAACCCAAGTCAGTCCTCAGCCTCAACAACACAAGATGGCCGACACGTCGCCACGCACGTCACGTGACAGTGCGCTCTCGGTCACGCCCCCTGACCCGCCCCCGGCCCGCCTCACTCCCGCCCCTCTTTCCAGCCTCCCACGACAGCCTTCCTTTCCGAAGCCGCCCGCCCCTCTGCCCGAACACGCCCCTGCGCGAGACCCGGATGAAACGCTGACAGAGGGCGGGGCAGCACAGTGCGCAGGCGCTTGCTGGGCCACTTCCTGTCCTTGGGTTGAGTCCAGAGTTGGATCCTGGCCAGGGACCCTGTGACTCACTATCCTATGCACCCAATCCATGGCCAGTTTGCAATTCAAAAGTCTCCGAATAACTGAGGGACTGATCTTTCAAGCTAGAACTTTTCCGCAGCTTCATCCAGCACTTTCCTGCCAGTTGATCATAGGCGATGGGGCAGTGACAAAAGCTGAGATTCAAAGCAATTTTATCTTTGAGGGAACTGGGAGTTCATTCTGAAGTGTTGGAAAACGACAGCTGGGAAGGACTTTAGAGCTCAGACTCCCGCCCAGTATCACTGGGCCTACAGCCCTTTGCTTCAGTGCTCCGTTTTGGGGTAAAACACAGGACACCCAGCAATATTTGGAACATAAACTAAAAGGTTTTTTTTTCCCAAAAATTCAAGTTTAACTAGCATCCCTGGTTGTGTGTGTGTGTTGTTGTTGTTGTTGTTGGCAGAGCTGAGGACTGCACCCAGGGCCTTATATATGCTACCACTGAGCTATATCCCCAAGCCTGGGCATCCCAAGTTTTGATTCGTTAAATCTGGTAACTTTACCCTTCCCATGTCATAATTCTTTCCTGTGCCATCTGTCTCTCCCCTTCTACAAGATCTTTCCCAACAACTTAAAAAAAAAAAAATCCTCAAATTTATCTCCCATTTTAAAATTTCCCTTCCAGCTACCTCTTTGTGCCTCTGATCCCTTTCATAGACAAACAAGCACGAAAGAGTTGTTTATATGCACTTTCAATGCAATTTCTGTCCTTATCTATTATACACCTATAGCTTGCCATAAGAACACCACAATTGACAGATAGATTACTGGAGATTTTCGGTTCTCATCTTGACTTAGTGCTCCTGTCTTCAAAGTGATTGACTACTTCCTTCTTTCTGAAATACTTTCTTCCCTTGACTCTTAAATCCTTGCTGCTCAAAATGACCCAACAGGATCATCATCATCACCTGGAAAAATGTTAGGAATGCAGAATTTCAAATGGGCTCCTTACAGTCCCATTCTGCTAAATTCTACCCTCTAACATCCATGCTGCCATCTTTTCCTGTTCTTCCCCCAAGAATGTAAGGCTCCAGATGTGCTGTTGTTTGAGGATCCACCAACATGCCATTCTATCTGAGCCTTTGCACAAGCTGTTCCCTCTTGGTAACAATGCCATTCCCTACACGTGTCCTGCTTTTCTCCAACCTACATAATTCCTGCTCATCTTTAAAAGCCTAAACCATCCAGGCAAAATGGCACACACCTGTAATCCCAGCAACTCAGTAGGCTGAGGCAGGAGGATCACAAGTTTGAGGTCAGCCTCAGCAACTTAAGGCCCTAAGCAATTTAACCAGACCCTGTCTCAAAATTTAAAAAAAAAAAAATGGGGGGGCGTGCTGGATGTGGCTCAGTGATTATGTGCCTTTGGGTACCAAATAAATAAATAAAAGCCTAAACCATATGTTATTATCTCTGAAGATTTTCTTTCTGATACTAGGGATTAAATCAAGGACTTCGAACATGCGAGGCAAACTCTAAGAAACAGCCCCACTCCTTTTTATTTTATTTTGAGACAGAGTCTTGCAAAGTTGCTGAAGCTGTTAGAAATGCAGAATTTCAAATGGACCCCTTACAGTCCCATTCTGCTAAGTTTGATCCTCCTGCTGCAGTCTCCTTAGTAGCTGAGATTACAGTTGTGTCACACCTAGCCTTTAGTATTGCAGGTCGTTGGCTTACTAATACATGGTTTTGGTTTTGGTTTTGGTTTTTGGTTTTTAAGATTTCTTTAATCCTTTGTGGGGCTTTTTGTTTGTTTCTTTTTTGGGGTTTTTTTGTTTGTTTGTTTATTTGTTTTTGGAAGATGGGGCGGCAGGAATTGAATCCTGGAGTACTTAACTACTGAGCCACATTCCCACCCCTTTTTATTTTTTATTTAGAGACATGTTCTTACTATATTAGTTAAGGCCTCACTAAATTTTTGAGGCTGGCCTTGAACTTGCAATCCTCTTACCTCAACCTTCTGAATTGCTGGGATTACAGGCCTGTGCCACCATGCCCAGCTTGAACTATCATTTTTAATAAAAATAATAAATAACATTTGTTTTGTGCTGACCACCTCACTAAGTGCTTTACTTGCATTTTCTCTTGTAAATCCTGGTGACAGTGCTATGGAACTCTGAGAAGGCCAAAGAGGCATTAGGAGAAGTTCTAACCATCCCCAAATGTCCGCCAGCACTTCCAAGCCCAACCTGGTTAATTGCAGAACCCATGTCCTTAACTATTTTGGCATAACACCTTTCTGATGCTTTGCCACCTATGCGTTGCCTGTGGGATTTTTTGGGGTTTTTTTTTTAATATTTATTTTTTAGTTTTTGGCGGACATAACATCTTTGTATGTGGTACTGAGGATGGAACCCAGGCCGCATGCATGCCAGGCGAGCGCGCTACTGCTTGAGCCACATCCCCAGCCCTGTTTTTTTTTTTTTAATCAAGGTAAAACACATAGTAAAATTTATCATTTTTATTGTATATTTCTGCAACTTTTGACAAATGTCCACAGGTGTGTGCAGCCATACAAATCAAGATACAGAATGGTCTTGTCATCCACAAAATTTCCCCCAATGACCATTGGAAATGAGCTCTTACTCCAAACCCAGCCCCTGCAACTACTGATCAGTTTTATGACCTTAGGGTTTCATCTTATAATGTCATATATGTTGAGACTGACTTCTTTCACTTAGCACATGCATGATCAACCAGTGTTGCATATGTCAGTACTTCCTCCTTCTTGCTGCTGAATAGTATTTCCCTGGGTGTATGCACCACTATTTGTTTATCCATTCCTTATCTGTGGGACATTAGGGTTGTTTCCAGTTCAGGAAGATTATTAATAAAACTTTAATAAATACTTACAAGCAGGCATTTGTGTGGACATAGGTTTCTGCTTCACCTGGAAACATCTAGGAATGGGATTGGTGGTGATGCTTCTTTAACTTTCTCAGAAACTGCCAAATTCATTGTCAAGAGTGCCATGGCCATGTTTTTAGCCTTAAACTATAAAGCAGGAACCAATTCTAGGGAATGATGATGACCTTGATGGTGATCAAAGCTGACAACCCCATGGTTTTAGCCAGTATTCACACTGCATTCTTCAACTTTGAATTCTCAACAAATGATTGTCCTGGTGCAGAGTAAATGTCCAACAAATCCCTGGACACTAAAGCTCTGGATCCTCTGCTCCTTAGGAAGGATGTACTCTGCTTCTTGTTCTCCTCACAGTCTCTCCAGTGCTTCACTAAGTAGTGGTTTTTAATCTACAACCGTAGGCTGATGCATGCCGGCTGCAGCATGCTGTCATCAGGGATGATAAGAAAATTTCTACTTTACTTCGCCATCAATAGGAACAGAAGCTGTGAGGAATGGATCATTTGGTAATGGGAGTCAAGGGAAGGAGTCTGATCTGGAATAGTTTGATTTGTAATGAAGTCAGGCCCATCACTTGGGACAGATTGCTTTTTCTGAAGATGGCTGTGATATCTTCCACTTGACATACTCTTCTAGACCATTTACTACACTTTCAAGAGGTAGAGTCAAGTTCCCTTCCCCTTTGCCCTTCTAGCCAGTGGAAGGTGGTAGAAGTAGTTTGACTGGCCAGGAGTGGTGGTGCACACCTGTAATCTCAGTGACTCAGGAGGCTGAGGCAGGAGGATTGAAAATTCAAGGGCAGCCTCAGCAACGTAGCAAGACTCTGTCTCAAAAAATTAAAAAAGGGCAAGGGACGTAGCTCTGTGGTAAAAAACACCCCTAGGTTCAATTTCCAGTACAAAAAAAAAAAAAAAAAAAAAGCAAGAAGAGGAAGTAAAACAACAACTCCTGGTGCTTGGTCATGAGAGGTGGTCTAGCTTCCACCCCCTGCTTGCCAAAACATTCCCTTTGGACGCAAAGCTGACACATAATAAGTCCCAATGGCCTGAGGCTGCCTGGAGCCTGACCACAAGGAAAGGCCTTATCTACAGCCCTGACTGAAGTCCCAGCTGACGCCAGCACCATCCGCAACCAGACATCTGAGTGAAAAATGCAACCAGATGATTCCAGCCCCAAGCGTCCAGACATCCTCAGCATCAAATAATGCCCAAGACATCATGAGGCAGGGCAAGATCCTCACCATGCCTTGTCTGAGTTCCCAAATCACCGAATGTGTCAACCTGTTAAAACGGTGGATTTAAGTCAGTAGATTTTGAGTGATAGTGACTAGAACATCCTTGTCATGAACTGAATTATATCTCTCAAAAACATATGTTGAGCCAGGTATACGCCTGTAATCCCAGCAGCTCAGGAGGCTGAGGCAGGAGGATTGCAGGCTCAAAGCCAGCCTCAGCAACTTAGCAAGATCCTAAGACCCTAAGAATAAAAAAATAAAACAGCTTGGAATGTGGCTCAGTAGTCCAGTGCCCGGGTTCAATTTCTGGCATAAACAAACAAACATGTTGGCAACTTAACTCCAAGTGCCTCAGACTGTGACATTATTTGGAGATAGTTTATCAAAAGGGTTAAAAGAAAGAAAGAAAGAAAGAAAAGAATCACAGAGCACAGTGGTACCTGTCTGTAATCCCAGCTATTAGGGAGGCTGAGGCAGGAGGATGGCAAATCTGAGGCCAGCCTGGGAAACACCCTGTGTTGGTTGTGTGGGAGACTCCCCGCTGAAGTTGAGTTTCTGGTCATGGTCACATCACCAAATCCCTTACCCCTCCCCAAGGGCGCCAAGATGAAGAGTGAAGAGCGCCAAATTCAAAGGTTTTCTCAACCAATCCCCACAGGG